GATATAAGTCCCTTATCTCTTAATGTCATTCCCAAATACTTTTTCCCAGTTGGTGGCTTTCCTTTTTACCCTGTTGGAGAAGTTTTCGGATGTGCATAGGGATTTGATTCTTAGAAGATCCTACTCCTCTATTTTATCTTCTTCTGGTTCTAGGTGGGGAGGAATTTAAATGTGACTTTATAGATTTGATATCTAATCACCTTTTCTTCTTTGTTCCCTCTCCTCAGGTCTGATGCTTTGGGCCAGATCCTCCCGCAACTGGGTAAAGACTGGACTCACCAGGGCATAGCAAAGCTCTACCATTCCATCAATGAGTAAGTGTGCGCCAGTACGAAGTGGCGCTCCTGCGCTGGAATTCACATTGATGGAGAACTAGAACAATGAACTCCATCAGGCAATGTACAAAAACTGTGTGTATGTAGTCCAGCTGCCCTGCTTTCCTCCTGTAGCCATGACAGCCACCCTTAGGGAGCGTGTGCAGTGTGCCTACAGTTGAGGGATGAGTTTTACCAACTGTCTTATTAGAGCCTCACAAATCTGTGAAGGGAATTATGATTATGTTGTAGTAATGTGCATTGAGTTACCTGCAACTAATCATGACCTTATGTACAATAGCTCTGAAGCCTGCCCTATCCTGAATTAGTCTCACTGACTCCAACACACCTACTCTCCCCATAACCCCAGTTACTGCGTCAGTCCATCTCTTCCAGGGTCTTCCTCTCCTGCTTTTCCCACCCCTCCTAGCCATGTGCCCAAAGTATATGAGATGAACCTTCAAAATCCTTGCCTCCAAGGAAAAATTTGGTTGCATCCTCTCCATTATAGACCTATTTGTTCTCTTGACGGTCATGTTATGTTCAGTACTTTTTCCAGCACTACAGCTCAAAGGCTTAGATTCTTCTTTTGTCATCTTTAGTCACTGTCCAGCTCTCTGATACATAGCAAGTAATTGCAAAGACCATGGCCTGGATCAGGCTCAGCTGAGTCCCTCAACCACTGACATCATTACTCTTTAGCAATTTGGAGAGGTCCCTGACAGCAGACTTTCCAGTACAATTCATCTTTTGGTTTCCTGACTGCTGGTGCCAAGAGTATTCACTCTGGAGCTGAGCATAGCCAGAACTCGCTCTCTCTCTCTCTCTCTCTCTCTCTCTGTGTGTGTGTGTGTGTGTGTGTGTGTGTGTGTTTGTGTACACAACTAGACCTTTTTAAATTTTTAATTTATTGCTTAAGCAGTAGTTGCATGCATAGGAGAAGCAGAGTGCTCTGGTGGCTTAGTGATAAGGATCTGTGCTGTCAGTCCAAAGGCACATGGTTTGTACCAGCTGCTCCACAGGAGAAAGATAGGCAGTTTCCTCCCATGCAAATAGACTGCCTCTGAAAATTTGCTGGATTATGAGACCCTTCCGCTAGGCAGTACCTAACAAGGAAGAACATAGAGGAAACAGTTCTCCTACATGATGGTGGGCACATGTTGTGATAACACACAAGAATAGTTCACCCATTCTCTGCTCCCACCCCCCATGCGTGTAAGGTCATGTGTGAGCTGCACCGCCTAGGGTCTATCAGCCAGGCCCTCAGCTCCCAAACACCCCTCCTGCTGTCACCGCACTGTGACTGGACTTCTTCCCTCCTTTCCTTTCCGGGCAGGGTTTGGATCCAGACAACCAGCTCCTCTCAGCCTCATGTAGGTGGTACTTTCCAGATAGAAGTGGGAATCCCACAAGCACATTGCAGACCCTCAGATCGCTTGTCACATGCTCTCCAAGGGAAAGCTGTGTTGTGGCCTTTGTGGGTCCTGACACCTTGTAGTTCAAGTGAGCATGTCCTAAGCGTTAGTCCAGCATCCCAGAATCGGACATTTAGGACCTTACCTTGGTATGATTTTATTCCTTATCTTAAAGAATGGCTGACGTTCTGCAATATGCCCTTAGAAATAGGGCCCTGTGTGTCTCATCTTCCTAATTTTAAAGATAGCTCTAGGTTTTTGTCTCTGCTATAATCTGACTTTTATAGACTAGTTACTAAATTTCTTTTTTGACATAAATTTAGCCTAATTTTTTCTTCTGTAGACTTCTATTTTTCCTCATAGTATTTTCCATGGGAAGTTGAGGTCTTTTTAATTCTTACTTTCTGTTACATTCACAGTAATGAGAGGATCAAAGAAAAGCACGTTTTCTTCTTGGTCAGAGCACAAAAGCTGAGCCTCTGCATTCTCTTTCAGGAATGGCTACAAGTTTCTGTACTGCTCCGCCCGCGCCATCGGCATGGCTGACATGACCCGTGGCTACCTCCACTGGGTCAACGACAAGGGCACAATCCTGCCTCGGGGCCCTCTGATGCTGTCCCCCAGTAGCCTCTTCTCCGCCTTCCACAGGTACCTGTCCCAGCAAGGCCACTGTGTCCATGGGAGGCAGCTCACGCCAGCCCAGCCTCCCAGAATGGAGTGTACTGTGGCCGGGGTCTCCCGTGCAAGTCTTAGTGTCTGTTTCGGCACATCTTTTTCCTCTCAGTTCTCAGCACCTGGCTCCCACCTAGCTGGTCAAATAGGGTGAAGAAAAGTCAAGTTTTAGGAGTTGTCAAGTTTCTTTCCTATTCTAAACCCCATCATTCAGCATTTTCTTAGTCATCATATTTATGGGTTGAAAAAGAAAGAAGAGAAAGTTATGAAGGATTAGAAAATTAGATGGTCTGAGCACAGAAATCTCTCCAGGATGGGCACCAGCAAAGGAACATGAGTGCTTTGTATTTTAATAGTGTCTGTGTTTATATTTTATGGTTGTATGTGTGTGTTTTAGGATTGTGTATTTTCTCTCCTAGGGAAGTGATAGAAAAGAAACCAGAGAAGTTTAAAATTGAATGTCTAAATGATATCAAGAACTTGTTTGCCCCGACCAAGCAGCCCTTCTATGCTGCGTTTGGAAACCGCCCAAATGTAAGTGTCTCCTTTCTCTGATTTGGGAGCTAGAATAGAGACACATGTGCTTTCTGGTTTATATCCATATCATAATTTATAAATTAACACAGTGCATGCCACGTCTGCTTAGTAGCTTTTCCCTTTCTTGATCTCAGACTCCTCCAGCATTTGGGGAAGTCCTGGCCGTGTAGACCTGCCCCAGGACTTTGGTTCAGGAAGTTCTCTGTGTCGTCTGTAACATCACTTCTCCAGTACTCTCCACCATGATTTCAGGGGTTCTGAGCATGGCCCCGGGGTCTTTCCAGAGCCTCATATTGCCTGAGGCCTCTCCTCCTCAGATCTGCGTTTACATGACTATAGTTTGTATCTGCTGCCATGTTTTCCATAGAGCATCTCTGAGCAGAAGCTTCTTCTGATCCCCATCCCCATTCACCACACCTCTCTTCTGCAGGATGTGTATGCTTACACGCAAGTGGGCGTTCCAGATTGTAGAATATTCACTGTAAACCCCAAGGGGGAGTTAATACAGGAAAGGACCAAAGGAAACAAGTCATCGTGAGTACATTTCACCTTCCCAGGTGGTGCCAGAGCCCAGCGCGGAGCTAGGGGAGATGGTGTTACCAGACTGGGTTACTGGGTTGCCAGTGGCAGGTCTCCTTCAGATGTTTGGAAGTTCCCCTTTGTCTGGGTGTTTGCTCTCCAAAGAAGGTGGTGAAGGGGGCAGTCGTTGATGGTTGTTCTTTGTGAGAACTTCCTGTCCTCTGCCCTGGGCAGCACCCCAGAGCCTGTTTCTGAGCTGGTGTTGCAGCCAGCAACACGCTCAGTGGTGGATTTTGACCTAACAGCCTGTGTTTGGTCTCTGTCCCATCCTCCAGGTACCACCGGCTGAGCGAGCTTGTGGAGCACGTGTTTCCTCTTCTCAACAAAGAACAGAACTCCGCCTTTCCATGCCCAGAGTTCAGCTCCTTCTGCTACTGGCGAGACCCAATCCCCAGCGTGAACCTGGATGAACTGGCTTGAGGAGACCCCTCTCAGGGCTGGGGTTTGGTCACTTCATCTCCCAGGAAGGGAGGTGACTGGCTGTTGCAGGACAGAGGACACTGGGCTAACTCGGCACTGTTGTGCTGGACCCAACGCACGTTCTAGCCAGGTACCCGCTTTCTCATGACCAGACGAGGAGAGCTCCGCGGGCTCCAAACGAAAAGGAGGGGCCTGTGCTTGTCCGTCCGTACACGTGCTCTGGATCTTGTGCTGGGTGCGGCTTTAATTAATTAAGTCAAAAAATGGGCATTTCGACAAAGTAAAGTGGTCTGGCCAGACCAGCTGAGCTGTCACGGGTCCAGTCAGTGACCGCCTTTGCCCGCTCTGCCCTGGACTCTGGCTTTCCTGCTGCCCTCATGAGGCTGCAGCTAGCTGCTGCAGGCCACTGTCCACACAGCCACACATGTGCGTCCAGCACTGGGCATCGTGGACGTCTTCGCTGTGTGACTCCTTAGTGGGAGTCCTCAGAGTTACTTAGATATGTCCAGAAAGAACAGGTGTTGCAGGTATATATTTGATTTTTTTCAATAAAAATCTTATTAGTGGAAATTGAGTTTAAAAAAAGAAAAGAAACTGCTCTGTGTTTTCAGGGAGGCCTCAGAAAATAAGCTGCCATTGTGTTCTGTCCTGGGAAATGCTTCCCTGTCTGTGCCTGTGTCCGTTAGCGGCGGGCTTTTGAGTGTCTTGGCTTTGGGACAGGGTTTCTAAGAATCTGCACTTTAGCTTAGTTGGGAAGCACAGTGAAGCTCACAGCCATGGAGGAAGCCTGGGGAAGGCGAGAGGGCTCTGACATGACCACTCGCACCCTGCCTGCACCACTGGCTGCTCCCTCTGGAAAGCACATAGCAGGACCTTGTGGGGACAGCCATGTGTGTTCCCTTAAAGAGTGAAGAGACATCTGGCTGTGACAAACTCACATAACTTAAGAGAAATGACAGCTCTAGGGTCATTTGCTGTCAGCCCCTGTAGACTGCTATTAGCCATGTCCTGAAACCTGGAAAGGCCAGTACGGTGTTGACAATCACTTCAATATTAAAGGGAAGAGAACTGTTTGAAAGGAGGTCTTCAGGAGACCACAGAGGCCACAGTCTCCTGTGAGGGGAGCCTGCGCTGAGCCCAGAGCTGAGCATCACACAGACAAGGCTGCTCATAGACCTGCCCCATGTGATCATGTTGTGGGTTCTTGTCATTTGCGTTCCCCTCATCCAGTACCATGTTGATGCAGAGAGGGAGACAGAGGCAGCTGGTTCTTCAGGTTTATAGTGGGGTTCCCTGGCTCCCCTCACTGTGCTTCCCTCCTGCTGTTGGTTGCAGGGACCATGTTGAAATCCCCGGACAGTTCTCAGTGGCAGAACCTCAAAGCACATGTTCAGTTCATTAGAGCTAATTGTAATGAGTCAGAAGTGACTGTGTTTGATGGCTTAGGGAAGCTACTTCTGTGGAGTTCTACCTAAGTAGTGAATGAAACCCCTTGGTGAGCTAACACCGGCTGCTCTGTCTCTGAGCCAGGCCCTCTGGACCATGGGTGAGGTTGGTGGTAACGTTGTTAAATCCTTGCAGAGCGCCCTCAGCTTGTCCTCCCGCAGATGTAGAGGCATGAACACAGTGCTCCTCGTCTGAACTCAGTGGGCTTCCTCTTGTGTGTGCGGTATGGGGTTCTGACCCACAGCCCTCCAGTCCCTCTGGCTCATCCACTGCAGAGTAGTTGGCTACGTGATACCTGTCTGTCCTGACAAGCTCCTCTCTGACATACAGGCCTTCCTTAGAGGACCCAGCTAGGAACCTGTATGGAGGGGCTTTGCCCCATTGTCCATAAGCAATAGGCTTTGTCACTTTGTCACTGCAAGTTGATCCAGTGGGTATAATAATTAGTGTGAGTTGTCTTCCTTATTTAAAGGAGTCACTTTCCCAAAAGTAGATGCTTTACTATTACTATAGTGTTATCAGAGTATTAATTTTGTGCTCAACACCCATTGCTATTTGGTACAAATGACATTTGTTCTTTCTGTGAAAGAGAGATGCCCTTGAGTGTTTGTACACAGCCCTGGGATGGCGAGTTCATGGGCCATGCCTGAGGTGAAGGGGTCACTGGAGCCTGCAGGACAGGGCCCTGGGCTTCTCACCATCCCTCTCCAGCCCACTCAGCCTCTAGTGTTTGCTCAATGTCCATGTGTGAGCCTGTACTTCTGTGAAGGGTCAACCTTGGCACCCTTGTCAGCTGTGGGGAGAACGTGTGGGCCTGATGACCGAGTGTGGCATGGTCAGAACATCTGCACAGATTTCAACTGGAAAAAGAAACAGATTCCCACTAGTATCCTGATGGGGAAACTGCTAGAAGCTGTGCAGGGCTGCCTCTCCCCGTCAGTGGCTGGAGGCCTGTCTGCCGCGAAGCCACGACCTCGGCCTATGCATGGGCTGCTGCTGGGGGCGTGGGCGCGTCTCCTGACGGTGCGGACAGTCTGGGGGGAGTTGTAGCAGCTTTTCAGGTGCATGTCTACTCCAGGAACCCTGGGTTTTCCTTGTTTTAGAAACTGGTTCAAAACTGAGCTTTTTTTGTTTTAAGTAAATGCCTTTCCAAGTGAAATCAACCTTTTGGCTTGTTCAGAAGATGAGAAAAGGAGGGGAAACTGCTCTTTCAATTTTAACAGTTCTGTTTATAATGAAGTATTTGGTTAGATAGCAATTCCACTAATAAGTTTTGTGTTATCAGAAAATAATTGTAAACATCAGTACAGTACTCTTAGTTATGGCAAAGACAATTGTCTTGAAATAAATGGATCATATTTTGGTGCAATGTTTGATGTCCAAAATAAAATGTTAATAACAATAAACAAATGTGAACTGGACACGTCTGGTCCTTCCTTTCCAAGAATGTTTGGACTGTCTTCTCTGTACGCTTGCCAAAACTAGTTATCTCTGTAAATTAGCCTTTTGCTCTTTGCTGACATTCACAAATTGTCTGCAGAAAGGACTTCTCTGGGGTACTTACTTTCTAAACTCCGAAAGTGAGTAAGGAGGCTCCCCGGCTTTGTGGCTTGGGTGTATTTGTCACTTCAAATGTCGTAAGAAACCCCTGGTCAGGTCTTTAAGAACAGAGAGGAGGAGTCCAGTGGGAGTCTTAAAGAGAGGAGGCAGGTGTGTCTGCAGGGAGTGGCCTGTGTTCCCTCCCTGAACTGCAGCGGCACCCACCTCAGCTGCACCTTCCTCCTGTCACCCTGTCCCTGGGCTTCTCCCTGTGCACATGGTCATGGGACTGAGATGTTACAGAGAGTGGATGTGGAGATAGACAAAGCTGTTTCCCATCTCCTAAGTGTGGACGCCAACCTTCCACTTTCCCAATCCATTCCAGCAGCAAACACAACTAAGAAATGAGGAGAGATGGCGTCACAGGGAAGCAGGCGAGGGGCATGTGTGAATACAGAAGGCCTCTCTGACACAACAAATGGCGATGTGCTTCCGCGGGTTTCGGGTTTGTAATCATATCAAGAGACATTTGCTTAGTCTCCGTATGAAGGAAATGTCCCAGTGTCTATCTTAAGACATGTGTTGGCCTTTTCCTCAACAACAGCTCTTTCAGACGTGATCACACACACACACACACCCCCCCCCTACACCTCAGATGGTGACCCCCAAGTCCTGGGGTTTGGTTTACACACATGAGAAGATGATGGCCTCAAGCCCTCTCAACATGCCCCTGCTGACCACTGTCCAGTCTCCAAGAGGCCTGCCCCACCTGAAGACCCATGTTTCCAGGAGCTGAGGCCCAGCTCCCACCCTATTTTATCTGAGCAAACACAGGGTTCTGCTGCAGACGTGTCGCTGGTCCACCAGACCCCTGTAAAACAGAAGGAAGTGATGCTTCTCAGGGTGGCCTTGGCCCTCTGCGACCAGCTTAGGCGGGCCCTCTTGTTGCCTAGAAACCACAGTGTTTGGGAAACGCTGAGTGTGTGTGCACTGGACAGGCAGGTCCCATGAGCTTGGCGCATCTCTGCTTAGGAAATGGTCAGCATCCACGGAGGGTCCCCCTCTGGCCACTGGCCTCCAGGATTCACCTCAATCAGTAAGTGTGTCAGGGAAGCACTGAGGGAGGGCTGAGTGTTATCCGACGCTCCATAGAACCATCTGTGGAGCAGAAAAGAGAAGTCCCGCTGTCTCCTGGGCCCTGCCCTGCGGTTGTGAATTGAGGAAGGGTGTGAGCAGAAGAGGGCAGCAAGCCAGCTGGGTTGTCTAGAAACACGGGGTTGTTTCCATGAGTCATGTGTGGCAGAGCCCGGGGAGTCTTGACAGCTGCCTGTAGTCAGTTCCTCGCGGGGGCGCACCCCTCTCCCTGCCTGGGCACTTGGCAGAAGGAAGCCAGGGAAGGAAAGAACTCTGGGGTTCTTAAGGTGGTGGCGGGGTGGGGACTAGGGGATAGGTAAAGTGGGGTGGTGTGTGCCACTGAGTTGGAACCAACTCATAGCTGACCCTCTGGCGGGTTTTTCAGAGGCAGTAAGTCTCATACAAGACTGTCCATCTTTCGCCCACAGAGCAGGTAAGTCAAACTATCCGCCTTTGGGTTGGCAGCAAAACTGAGCTCTTTGGAGCAGGGCCTCTGAAGGCTCATTTTATCTGCCAACAGCTGGGGTGTTTTTAAAACAGCCCAAACCATCTACACTGCCCCTAGGGCACTAGGACACTGCCTTCCCCCCTCCTCACCTCCCAACAGATTTCATCTGGTCAGTAATCCTGGAGCTAGGATTCACCATGCCAAAGCTCCCTGCTGCTGGGTAGACTGGGGGATCCCTGGCTGATGAGGAAGTGACCTCAGCCCCCTGTGGGGCCTCTTGTTGCTTAGGAACCTGAGTATTGGTGACACGCTGAGTGAGAGTGCTGGGCGGGTGGGTCTCGGGAGCTTGGCATCGCTGGTCAGGAAGCAGTCAGGATCCACAGAGGACCCTTTGGCCACGCTGGCCACTGACCTCCAAGCATATCCATTCTGTCAACAAATTCCAGAAACAATGTGGATATTTGACCACTTCATAGTGGAGATGATTTTATTCAAGCTCACTTTCAACAGCCATTTTCAAAAAGCAAAATACCTTTCTACCATTTGCTCTTTAACACCTCCCGCCCATAAGGTACCAGACTTCAGAGAGAGAACTTCAAGTGGTTTTTCGCCTTTATTGGTGCTCCCTGTCTTTGCACTGAAACTGTACATGTCATTTAAGGAGCCCAGCAAGCTTCAGGAACTAACCCTCTGCACCCACTGCCGGGGGAGGGTCAGGGAGTGGTAACATGTCCTCATTTACGAACGTGGACTCCAGGCTCGGTGGGGTGCGCGGCACCCACACTTCAGTGTTTAAACTCGGTGCAGTGTAAAATAGAGACAGGCAGGGCTGAGGTGCACCAGAGAGGACTGCCCCACCCAGTTTCTCCATCAGTGGGGCACCACAGGGGACAAGTGGGGGACCCTTAGCCAGGAGGCCTGCTGAGTGCTCAGCTGGGCAAGTTTGGGGGAGATGGGCTGTTAAGGGGTGTCCTAGGATCTGGAGGCTTAATTTGAGAGATGAGAGAAGAGAGGGCAGCCTTGGCCGCAAACAGTCTGATGTGGAGACCTGAACCCCAGCTGAGGCCTTTATCTTGAGGAAGGGGTGGGGTGTAGGTGGAAAACGCTAGATCAGTGCTCCAGTTAACATACATAAAAACTGAATATATTAAAGTTTTGGTTTTTACAGTTCTCTGCCCACCCGTCTAGAGGTGGGCCAGGAAAGGGTACAGAAGTACCCCGCTGAAGGTGGAATACATCTCGTCGAAGTCCGTCTGCGCCAGCCGGCCCCCCGTCACCACAATGTTGACACCGTCCCCTGCCTTCAAGTGCATGATGAGGTGGAAGGCTCCGGGACCCCCACACGTGTGGAGTGCCCCTGGGGGTCGGTGATATTCCAGGAACTCCCTCCTGTACCCTGCCGTGTGCAGCTGGGCCACACTGGCGTTGGCCACGGACAGGACAGCTTCCACGTAGGCGTCCCTCTCGGGGGTGAGGGTGGCCGTGATCAGGTAGCGCCCATCGTAGGGAGCCGTGAAGATCCCTGGGGAAGCGGAAACCGGGGTTCATGCTGTGGGGCCACACATGACACTGGGCAGCACACCAAGTCCCTTGGGTCAGGTCACCCTGGGCAGGAACCTGGCTATCAGGAACACAGCCCTGTCCAGTCCCGGACCTCAGGGGTCAGGCTATGCTGGACAAGACCCTGGCTGTTGGGGCCACAGCCTTGTCCAGTCCACACTGCCCTCGCCCAATGTGACACAGCCCCTGTGTGCTCTGCTGCTGACACTTCACTGCAAAACACCCCCTCATTGGCTGCAACTGCCAAACAGGACGAGTAACTGCCCTGTCTGGGAGTCAGCCTATCTGCCAATCCGCCTAACTTCACAGCACTTTGCAGCAGCTCTGGGAAATGCTCCCCCTCTGCCCAGCTGAGCACACGGAGGATGACCCTGCACCTCGCTCTGGGAAACGCTTCCCCACTGGCCAAGCACACGGAGAATAACCCCTTCAGCCTTGCTGGGGAGATAGCACAGGCTTTCTACCTCCTGCTGCCCTTTTTCTGGCCCCGAGGACCATTTGACCCTGGCCACAACCTGCTCCCATCTGCACTTGCAGTCCAGTGGAACAGAAGCACCCAGGGCATACATAGGCTGTCCCTCACTTCTCTTTTACAAAGCACCCAGCTCGACTGGGTGCGAGTGACCCCTGTGAATGCAGTAAGTGTTCCCCAGAATGTAGGACTTCAGACAGGCTCAGTACTGCAAGCCAGCTTGGAAGGGCAGGCGGAGCTGCGTTACCAGAGACCACAGCCCACCTGCATCATGGAGAAGGCTAGCACCTTGACTCGGTCACACACAGACACTGTCCATTCACTGGCCCTGATGTTCACTTAGCCAGTGAGCCACAACCCTGTGAGGGCTGGAGGCAGTGAAAGTAGGGGACAGTGTGAGCAAAAAGGATGAGACCGGACCATGTTGGAGACACTAGGCCATGACCAGGCCCAGAAGCTGAGATGACATGGGGGGGGCGGGGGGGAGCGCAAGAGTCATCTATACTGAAAAATCAACCCAGCCCCTTCCAGCATGTAGTGGTCATCTAAAGTGTCCAGAGTCTTTCCAGCGGCTCCTGGAGCAGAGATCAGAGCCAGTTCCAGCGCTCTAGACAAACGGAGGATCCACAGGAGGGGAGACCTCCCAAAGCCACTTCTGACCTCCTCTCCTGCTTCCACGTGAGTGTACTTGGGGTGCAGAGGAGCATCAAGGGACATGGTCACCATCCCTGCCTTCACAGATAACTGGTCCCTACACAGCTGTCCTGAAACAGTGACAGGCCACTGTGGTCACCATCTCCCCCAACCAAGACCTTCACTGCTGAGGGCCTCTGCAGAGCTGGTTAAAATGCAGCTTCATAAGCTCCCGTAATCCAAGAGGTATGTTGCATCGATGACTCACAGCTGGTAACATATAAGAGCCAGTGCCTTCTGGAACTAGACCAGATGAATGGAAAGAAGGTGGTGACCAGGCAGGGCACACATGGTGTGGCTAAGAAGGAAGTTAATACCATCTTCCTGGAGCTTCTCTGTGGCCACTACTCGGCCCTGATGCTCCCCTGGAGGACTGAGAGGGTGACAGCAGCTGCTACGGAGCAGGTCTCACCTATCTCCTGGAGCTGTGGGGCAGTCCTGCTAGCTCCTGGGAAAGGGCAATGGATGCAGGCTGACCCTTCCCTTCCCTTCCCCTGCCCTGCCCTGCCCTGCCCAGGGGCGTGGAATCACCGCTAGACAACAGGAAGGCGGTGAGAATCATTGCGGAGGGATAGGAAGGGGATCGGGATCACGGCTAGGGGGCAGAAAGGGGGGCAGCATCAGAGGTGGGGGGCAGAAAGGGGGCAGGATCACCACTGGGGGCAGGGAGGGGGGTAGAATCACCTGACTAATAGGAAGTGGGTGAGTATCACAGCTGGGGGGCAGAAAGGAGGTGAAGATCACTGCTGAAAGACAGGAAAGGGCTCAGGATCACGACTGGGGGGGCAGGTTCATGGCTGGGGGGTCAGGAAGAGGGTCAGGATCACCAATCGGGGGCAGGATGGGGGTTGCACCTGGGTGGCTAGAGGACATCTCCTGGGGGGTTGGAGGGTGTACAGACAGAGCTTTTGTAACAAACAAAAACAAAAACCCGCCCCTGCTTTCTGTGGTGAAGCTGAGGCCTAGGATGGCGACCTCACACTAGCACCTATGCCTACAGCCCAAGGGGTTGGGAGGTGTCTTCACTGGTCCCAAATGATCAAGATGCACCAGTCTGCTCGCTTGAGACCCCTCCGCTCCATAAGAGCATGGAATGGAGACCCCACATTGCATTTAGGTAACAAGCGCATTGGGGTAAAAAGCTTTGGAAAGGAGGCACCCCTTCAAAAACTCACCAGTACTGGGGTTATAGACATCTCCATCATTCACCAGCACTTTGTTGAAGAGGACGACACCCCCATCACTGGGGAAAGGTTTCTGTGTGAGGCCCGCAGAAAAGGACACCAGAGAAGGCACAGGAACCCCTGGAGCAGAGAGATGTGACCACATAGGCTGTTGATTTGGGACTTGGGGGTACCTTCTGGTTCCTGGAGGACTGCATTCTATGAGTGAGCTAGAAACACTGAGGTTTTGGGTCAGCGTCCAGTGGCAGCTCCAGCACTTTATTGTCCCTTAAAGTGGTGAAACTTCATCAGATATAAAATACTCAACACACACAAGTGCACAGGGTCCACTGAGTCTGAGGTCAGCAGGCAGGACCACAGAAGGACCTGGGAAAGTGGGCAGGCACCTACTAGCCGTGGGCTGTGTGAAGAAGAAGTGTGTGTGTCCATGTATGAAAGGGAAAGAGCGTGTGTCACAATCACACTCTGTATGTGGGGTAAAGTGGGTGTATGAGCTGTAGGAGAAATTCTGTGTGTGTATAAGAGGCTGTGTGCAGACAGACTGTGAGATTATATTAAGACTGTGAGGCTGTAGGATAGATTATGTGTGTAATAAACCATGTGATAAAGAAACTGAGATTTGACTTCATGTGTGAGGGAAAGACTGTAAAACAGACTGTGTATGAGAGAGATAATGTGTGAGAGAGAAATGCTGAGTGTGGATGGCTGTGTGTATGCAGGTGTCTGAAGAAGACTGGATGGGATTATCCTCATTTCGTGAGAGAACTGTGAGATAGTGTGAGAGATTGACTTTTGTGAGGAAATGTGTATGAAAGGCAGAATACACATGGGGGCCTTGGGTGTGAGTGAGTGTGTAAAAGTGTGTGTGTGTGTGTGTGTGTGTGTGTGTGTGAGAGAGAGAGAGAGAGAGTGTGTGAGTGTGTGTGTGGGGGGGAAGGAAACAGGCGGAAAAGGTGGAGGCAATGGGAATGACTGAGGGAGCTACTGATTTACTGAGAAAACCTGAGCCCAGGAAACTCCTCAGAGCCAGTACTGGTAATGAGCCAGCACCATGCGTGAAGGAAGTTCCTTGTCCCGGCCATGACTGGCTATCTGGGAGCACACCTCATGGGCTTTGATCCACTGCCACTGGCAGAGACCTAGTCCACTGCTGGGGGGTAGGGAAGGGCTTGACCCCTGGATTCCCCTCTCACTCCCCACACCCTCGTGGTGGGAGAGGCTGAAATAGAGGTGGAGAGCAGAGGTTATTAAGAAGAATCTTTCTCCTGTCCCTGGCCTCTGGCAGGCAGCAGACATACCTGGAGAAGCTGCAGGAGGTGACTTGGGGTATCCTGAAAAACAAAATAAGAATGGAATGTCAAAATCTTTAACAGTTCATTTTTCAGAGCCCCTTTTGGCCCTGTTCCTCTGTGCTCAACCTCTCTTTCATTATCAGAAAAACAGCCACAGATACAGTAAAGACGCTCAATCTAAGCTGCCTTCCTAGAAACAGACACAATTGTTCCCACCTGTCCCTGCTTCTTGACTGGACTGTGTATCCTAAGACAGCACAGGATACCAAGGGCAAACTGGGTGGAGAGGACTGTGAGGAGGAGGAGGAGGACTGGGCACTGAGGGCAGGGGAAGACTCCAAAGACAGACTTGGGTCAACAAGTACATGTGTCCTCCAGGGGCATTATCCACCCATAGGCTTTGTTTTCCTATTATCACTATCATAATCATACTACTGCCACCGCCTTCACCATCGCCATACCTCTACCATCACCATCACCACCACTATACCCCCATCACCATAACATCCCCATTAGTACCACCACCCACCATCACCTTCATCACCACACTACCACTATCATCATCACCATCATATCACCATACCACCATCACTATCACTAGCATCACCACATTACTATCACCAACAGCAGCCACCATACCATGACACTATTACCATCATCATCACCACCATCATCACCAGATCATCACTACAACCAACACCAACATCACAGCTATACCACCATTATCACCCTCATCACCACCACCGCCACCATCACCATAATAGCACCATCACCATCATACCACTATCACCATCACCATCTTACCACCATCACTATATCGTACCATCATCACCATCATACCACCATCACCAACATGCCACCATCACCATCACCATCACCATCATATCACCATCACTATATCATGCCACCATCACCATCATACTACCATCACCATCATCATCACCATCATACCAACATCACTATATCGTACTACCATCACCATCATACCACCATCACCATCATACCACCATCACTATACCATACCACCATCACTATATCATACCATCACCACCATCATGCCACCTTCACCATCCTACCTCCATCACCATCATACCACCATCACCATCATACCACCCTCACCATCCTACCACTATCACCATCCTACCACTATCACTATCATACCACCATCACCATCATACCACCAGCACCATTATGCCACCATCACCATCACCATCATATCACCATCACTATATCATACCACTATCACCATCCTACCACCATCACTATATCATACCACCACCATCCTACCTCCATCACCATCCTACCTCCATCACCATCCTACCACTATCACCATCCTACTACCATCACCATCCTGCCTCCATCACCATCCTACCACCATCACCATCATACCACCGTCACCATCATACCACCGTCACCATCATACCACCATCACCATCAATAATACCACCATCACTGTCATACCACCATCAGCATCATGCCATCATCACCATCATACCATCACCATCCTACCGCCATCACCCCACATCAAGCACATCAGCATGATAACTGACATCCACAACTCACCTTGAGCACTTCCTAACAAGCACAAGGAACTAAGCTTGTTGTGCATTCTCACAGTAACTCCCCGAGAGGTAGTATAATTTTCCTAATTCTGCAGTTGAGGAAACTGACTTTGGGGAGGTCAGGAAATGCCCCCCAGTCATGAAGCTTGTGAGTGGTGGACTGGGATATAAACCAGCAACCTGGCGAGCTGCCTGCTTGCCTTTGCTACTAAACAAACTCCCAGGCCCATGTTCCAGGGCCCTTCCTGCTGGAAGACCAATGAGTGCCATGTGCCAGGGCCCTCCACCTGGGGTCATGTTTCTAAACATCGTCTACCCCAGTCTTGGGGGTGCCTGATCAACATAAACAAATCCCTCAGAATCTCAGCACACTGGAAAAGCTAAGTTTCAAAAGTTGTTCATCTGGTAGTGACCACCTAGACCCCCTGCAGTGACAACCGAAGGTGGCAGTGGCTGGTGCTCCCCCTCTCTGTGTCAGCATACACCCCGTAACCAGGACCCTCGTTGGCCCAGGGCTCAGGTGAGCCCAGCTGTAGGCATGGCTGGCTTACCTGGAGCACCCGCGTAGCCCTTAGAGCTGGGGATGGGTGTCTGCCCCATCTGGCCGTCTACCCCCTGGGGCAAGCCCCGGCCTGACATGCCCATCCGGCCTGGAGGCCCCGCCTCTCCCGTCTCCATGATGATCCCTGTAGATCCTGGCAGTGACGGCAGCCCTGTCTTGCCAGCCCACACTGGTGGGGGAAATGTCTTGTGGGGGGGAAGCAGCAGTGGGGGCCTCTTGGGCAGCACAGGACGCTGTCCAGGGTCCTCAGGAGGAGGCAGGCTGCTGGGTCTCGGCAGCGGGGCTTGGGTCAGTTCCGGGTGGGCAGATGCGGTGGGGGCCTCGGGCAGCCTGTCGGGGGCTTGCGAGCTCTTTCCTCTAGTGGGCAGCTGGGGTGTTTCAGATGGTTCCTCCGCTGGACAGTGGGAAAGCAGAAAGAAATACACAGGGTTAAACTTCTCAGCGCTCACTGCTGTTCATAGGCTCCTTCTCTGAGACCTCATCAGGCTCAGGTCCCTGTGCTAATAATGTGATAAATTCTGTAGCATCGACATAGTTGCCTGCACAATGCCCTCTGGGAACTTGAGCAGGCCAACATGGAGGGTGGCCGTGTGTCATCCAGCAGCTGCTGCCAGTCAGGGCCAGAGAGTAGAGTCCCAGCAGTCCTTCTCTGCATGGATGGTTGCACTCCAAAAACCAGAATCAGACCTGGTGCCAGTACCCACAATTTCCTCCTGCCACTACACGGTAACACCACAGATGTATCACAGATCACTGGAAGATCACTGCCGTACAATTTCTGAACCAAGCTGGTCTCAACAGGCACTGTCCAGTCTTATAGACTGGCTGCTAAGGGCACAGCTGTGGGAGCACAGGGCCAAGAGAAGCCTCAAAGGGCAGCAGCGCTCAGTTCTCTGGTCACAGGTACCAAGCTACCACGTGGAGGGAATTCCAGGGGGAGAAACTTGCTGATTCACATTTCCCTGCTTTCTTGCACTAGTGGCTGTGACACAGCCAGGAAGCAGCCACCCTTTCCTCCTTTGAGCATGTTCCTGGAATGAGCTAACTTTCCAGGAAGTCCTTCCTGAATGAGCACAGGCTTCTAACAATAACCAGGACTAGTCCAGACGCCACTGCCCAAGTGAAACAGCAGCCACCTCACTCAGCTGTGAGGGGGTCGAAATTATGAGCCAGGAACACGAACGAATGCATTCTTTATCAGCTCTCTTGAAAAATTCACTATGGTAAACATATACACCGTCTTCATCACAGAACCCAGCCTCAAAGGGAAATTATTGCTCAAAGAGCATTTCTTAACCAGTATTTATGAAAGAGTTAACCTTTCAGGAGATGATCAGAGAAGTCACCTCAATTCTCCACAGAGTGGCCTATGGCCCATGGCACTGTGGGTACAAAGAAGAGATGAGCATTCATTGCATATAATGGCTGCCTTCAGGCATTAGGCCTCGACTGGGTTAGAATGCTGCTGGACAGGGTTGGTCTGAGAAAACGAGGCAGGAGGGCTCCAGACATGAGGACACCAGGCTCAGCAGAAGTCTGCACATTAAGTTAAAGAGGCACACAGCCCCCTTCTCTGTTCAGCCCACAGGACACTGTTTACACCACAGGCAGGAGACTAAAGGATTCTTCACACTGACCCTACAATGAAGACCACACCTTGAAACTCTACTGATTACACATACTTCACTTTTAAATGTGGACAAACACCTGGCATGTAAGGAAAACCTCCAACAGGGATGACAGACACCAAAACAGGTCATCCTATCAACCAAGTCAAAGGAACGCAGAACAAAGTCACAATGCAAGAAAATCAACATGGAATATCCTCAGAGAATCAGACACTGTATTGAAGGTGCAGGGCTAGACTGCAGTAAAAAAGGGGGGAATCAGAGTATAGTAACGAGCATTTGCTAATTAAAAATGCTTGTCAAAACAACAAAATTCAATGAAATGACTGTTGTTATGACTGGATGCTCTCCAGTAAATCCTGAGTCACAGCAGCATCAATTATAATACAAGGAAACACTACCCAGTTCCGCACCAGCCTCATAGTCCTGACAGCTGAGCCCGCTGTTGTGGCCCCTATGCCAACCCATCTGATAGAGGGTCTTCTTTTTAGGTGATCCCTATGAAGCACCACTAGGGACTGAATCCTCCTGATAATATGTACAAAGTGTGTAAAACAAAGTCTCACTGTATTAATTTCTAAAGACTATTTGGATTGTACTTCTTCCAAGAACAATGTTCATTCTTCTGACATTCCATAGTATTTTCCATGTTTTTTGCTAATACTGTATTCAAATACAGCATTTCTCCTTTGATCTTCCTTATTAATTATCCAGCTTTTGCATACATATGTTGTTGTTGTTAGGTGTCACAGAGTATGACACATAGGGACTCAGTGAACAACAGCTCTGAACCCTATCCTATCTTGTGATATCTTCACTTTTTTCAACACATTAAAGCCCATTCCCGCTGTCACTATATCTATCCATCTCATTGAAGGTCTCTCTCTCTCTCTCTCTCTCTCCTTCACTGACTCTCACTTTTCCCAGCCCCATGATGCCCCTTTCTAATGAATAGCCTCTTTCTAGCAATTTGCCTAAAGTATGTGAGTCGAAGCTTCTCCATCCTTGCCTCCAAGGAGCACTCTGGCTGCCCTTTTCACAGGACATAGCTGCTTGTTCTTTTGGCAGTGTATGGGATATTCAGTTCTCTTCTCAATACTACATCTCAAAAGCATCAATTCTGGTGAGCTCTGGTGGCCTAGTGGCAGGAAACTGCACTGCAATCCCAGAGGTGCGTGGTTCAAATCCACCAGATGCTCTGCTGAAGAAGGAGGAACAGTCGCTTCCTGTGCCAGTCAGATCCAATTTGATGGTACACACATAAAAAAATAAATAAATAATTTTTTTTTAAAAAAAAGCATCAATTCTTCTGCCATCTCTATTCATTGTCCAGTGCTCAGACACACAATAAGTGATTGAGAAGACCCTGGTCTGAACCAGGTTTACCTTAATCTTCACACTGACATCATTGCTCCTCAGTAATTTGGAAAGGTGCCTGACAGCAGACTTGTCCCTGACCTCCTGACTGCTCCCGTGGCATACATATGAGTCAATTGAAAGTACAGGCCACTTTGTTCACAAAGTGACATTTTAACTTTTTTAACACTTTAAAGTCTTTTGCAGCAGATTGACCAAAGGCAATTTTGTCTGCTGTTTCTACGGGCATTGCTTAAGGATTGAAAAAAAAATCTCTTGGCAAATTCAGTCTTTTCTGCATTTACCATGATGTTTGAATTTATGTTTTATGTTGAGGTGTAATCCATACTGCAGGGTGCAGTTTTGATCTTCATCAATAAGTACTTTTCAGAGTACTGAGAAGCAACAACGTCAATCTAGGGACCAAGATGTGCCTGATCCAGTCCATGGTCTTCAAAATTACTTGCATGCATCAGAGAGCTGGATAATGACTAAGGATGACAGAAGAATCAATGCCTTCGAGTTGTGTTACTGGAGAAGAGTCTTGAACATACCATGGACCTCCAAGGGAACAAATAGGGCTGTCTTGGAGAGGGTGAAACTAAGTTTCTTCTTGGAGGCTAGGATGTTGAAGCTCAGTCTCACATACTTTAGGCATGTGGCCAGGAGGGACAGATCCTTAGAGAAGGACATCATGCTAGGAAGGGTGGAGGGACAGCGCGGGGGAGGAAGACCCTGGATGAGATGGATTGATATAATAACTAGGGCAATGGGGGTATGTTTGTCAGAGTCAGTGAGACTGACTCAGAACAGGGCAGGGTTCAGAGGTATTGTACACAGAGTCGCTGTGAGTCACAAGTGACTTGATGACACCTAACAACAACATCATCATCATCATCAGCTGCTCATTGATTCTTCCTCCAATCTTGATGCAGAGTTTTCTTCACACATTCCAGCTTCTTGGGTTATTTGCTCAGTGTATAGATTAAATACATATGGTGAAAGGATACAAGCCTGTCACATATTCCTGACTTTAAACCACACAATATTCCCTTGTTTTGTTGCTGGTTATGTGTGCCATTCCCACAAGAGCATAGTAAGTGTTCTGGAATTCTCATTCTTTGCAATCTTTTCCATGCTTAGTTATGATCCAGACAATTGAGTGTCCTAGTATAGTCAATAAAACACAAGTAATTTTTTCCCCCTGGGATTCTGCTTTCAGCCAAGACTCCTGTGACATCAGTAATGATAGCTCATTCCATGGCCTTTTCTGAATCTAGTTTAAATTTCTGGCAATTCTTGTCACTGTACTGCTGCAACTGCTTTTAATAATCTTCAGTAACATATCACTTGTGCATGATATTAATGATGTTGTTTGATAATTTCCACATTATCTTACATTATTTTTCTCTAGAATGGGAACAAATTATTTGGTAACTATCTTCCAAATTTCTTAACACAGATGAGTGAGGGCTTCCAGGATTGCATCTGTTTGTTGAAACATCTCAATTGGTATTCTGTTCATTCGGAGTCTTGTTCTTCGCCAATGCCCCCAGTGCAACTTGGATTCTACCTTCAATATCACTGGTTCTTGATCATATTTTACCTCTTTAAATGACTGTCTGATAAAGTTACTCTGTATTTCTTCCATCTTCTTTTGATGCTTCCTGTATCATTCACTATTTTGCCCACACAAACTTAACTTGGGACTTGAAATTTACTGTTTTCTTGAGCCACCATTTGACATCTTTTGTTCAGATCTTTTCTTTTATCATTTACCTTTGCTTTAGCTACTCTGCATTCAATAGTAAGATTCCAGATCTCTTCAGACTGTTTTAGTATTTTCCTTCTTTTCTGTCTTTTTAACCACCTTTATTTTCTTCACTTATGATGTAAGTTTAACTTTTGTATCACTCAATAGTTTGTCTGGTCTTTGGACATTCATTAGTTAGTGTTCAACATGTCAAATCAATTACTGAGATAGTCTCTAATGTCAGGTAAGGTATACTCAAGATCCCACTTTGGCCCTTGTAAACATGTTTTTAACTTTCTTCAGCTTCAACTTTAATATGAGCAATTGATGGTTTTACAGTTTGAGAGCTGGCTCCTGGTCTTGTTCTAATTGACCACAGATGTAGTTGATTTGATTTCTACACATTTCATTGGAAAGGTCCATGTGTATAGTTACAGTCTATGCTACTGACAAATCATCTGCATTTGCAGCGAATAAGTCCTTGATGTTGCAAGTTCTATCATTTGATCTTGTTTCATTTTTACTATTAAAATTTTACTACAAATTAAATTTTCTTTGTTTCTGACTTTTAAATTGCAACCACCAGAAGTATCAATGCATCTTGACTGCATATTTTATGAATTAAGACTGCAAAAGTTGGTAGAAATCTTCAGTTTC